AAGATATGCGAGGTCGATAAGAATATTCGTTTCTCGCGCGCGTCGCGGAATGAATATTAATATGAAACACGATTAAGACGACAGAACCCCCCCGACCATTAACTCGCCATTAATTTTAGTGGCAAATTTATTATACGGAATGCAGTTTTTCCGTGACTAAAATGTCGACGAGAAAAAGGCTCCCCCTTCGCGAATGAAGCCTCTTGCTTCTCGATAAAATCTCATTCGTTCGAAGGATGTAAATTCGTGCTTACTTTCTAGAAAGGTAAGCTTCTAGATGCGATCTGTAATATATGTCAACGAGTAGACAACGAATCCCGAATCGTTTCTACGAAAGGATCGTTTCCAAGATTCACAAACTTGATGTGTTACAAGTATTAAATGCGCGAATTGTGGGACACCCTGTACGCGTAGAGCCGTATCGCGGTACGCGGACGTTTGGCATAAATTTTCACCTCAACGAATTTCGCGAATTTATAGCTGCTCTCGCGGCAATGTATCGCGAATTCCTCCACGCGCGCGTGACGCAATTTTTTTTCCCCAACTGCTACAATTACGTGGTACCGCGGTGGGAGGGCCGCGCAGCGCTATTACATGACTACCGTTAATTAGCGCTCCAGTACGGCCACTTGATATTATGTAAAATAATGGAAATGAGTAACTACGCGCGCTGATTAAATTACAAGCGATTGTCGCGTAACTGAGTTAACCTTAATTGCGGAATCAACGGCTATTTAACGAGATTTCGTCTCGTCGAGTCGCGCTGATGCGACGACATTGCGAAAGTAATAAACGACGATGATTCACGGGGTTGAATTTCGCGTCGTGCATTTCCCCTCTTTAATATCACTGTATCCATATCTATCTTGTTGACAACTAACAGCGGTTGACTAATTAACTCGTGTTAATGACTGCCAATCGCGGAAAAGCAGATTAATGCTTAACGAAGTTAATAATTAGTTATAATCTCTCCCGTCCCATGGTAGGTAGTCGTTTAATTAGTTAGCACGAAGCTCACGTCTCAGAGTGTAAATATTTTCATCCGCGCTGCCGTCCATTAGTAATAATCGCAATTTGCGGTTTGCGCGTCGAATCGACGTCGATGGATCGGCGACGAGCCTCTCACAGGCTAAAAAGGCCGCGTCGCGTTTTTCAGCGGCGTAAATTCAAACGGTCGAGCATGGACGCCTTTGTTCGGAAAGAATTTTACGCGGTGCCAGTGCCGTTTGACACAATTAACGGGACACCGGAAGGGAAGAGCCCTTACGTCGAATCGATATTCCTACAGCCCGCGGGGCAACAGATGACGGTGAAATTGCGGGTGTGCGTTAGTGAACGACGAACTGTCGCCAGGTTCCTGAAAAGGTTCGCCCGTTTCCTCCGAAGACGGTGACAACGACGGCGGAGTCCGCGAGTCGTCTACGCATCGGAGCACGCACTATACGCAGTTGGCGGCCACAGGCACGTGCCATCGGACGTCTGCATCGAACTCGGTGAGTAAGTAACTTTCCCAACATCGTGACTGTTAACTCTTCAACCGATCAGACGAGAGAGAATGAGATTTTACGTAAGCTCGATCTTTAGATTTAAGACAGTTTGGAAACAAGCTCTTTTCACGCGTCAGGATATTATATTAGCTCAGAATATTTGCCGAGATTTTGGACGCTTTAAATTTAGCTCAAAACGAATGGAACTAAAATTATATCCTTCTTAATAAAGAAACCTGTTGATACTCACGTATGGCACATTCTACTGAGAGAATTAAAGTAAAGGGCGTGTCACGTTGATGCGCCTCTCTGTTTTCCGTATGTAAACGCGAGAAGAAATTCCTCTCGCGCGGACTAAAAAAAATTCGCGTCGGTCGCTCGAGAATGTCTAGTCGATTGCTCCTCTCTTTTATACGCGACGCGTCCAATTGGAACGCGTAACGCGTGACGCGCGAATCGGAATGCGATTGCTCGCGACGACCTGACAAAGGGCCGCGAAGACGAGGGTCAACTCGATCCTCCCCGCTGGTTTCATCGACGGTACACACCGGGCGACTCCGCCACGAAATAAAGCTACAATGCGCACATGCCCCCGCGGGGATCGATATGTTTACACGAGCGGGGAGTTACGTAAACGCGAGGAGAGAAGTTCGTTGACTCCGCTCGCTCATCGTTTGAGCCCACGTTTTCTCGAAACCCTCGCCTCGATTCACAGGCCTATCTATCGCTTTGTGAATCGTCTTATTCGCTCGTCCAAGTTTCGCGAGTATCGAAATCGGCGAGTGGGCGTGATTCTGATGAGCTCGACCACCTATATATACGAAGAGGCGTACTAATAAACTTTTCGCATTTTATATCATACAATGAATCGATACAGTACTTTATAACGATCCAAACATTGTGATTAACCACGAGTTGCCAATTATTCCACGAATATTTACATAACGTTTGTAACCGACGGAAGATGATTACATTAGGCAATGCTGCCGTCATCAAAATAAAAAGGGATTTTTAAATGTCGAACCCGTTTCTCGAAATTACGCTGCGCCACAAAGGGTTAAAGTCGATTCGCGTGCAAATTCGTTACATCGATAATCGAATGACGACGCGGTCCACTGGAAAATTACGACAATTACAGAAATTACGGGAATTAAATGAACCATTTATTTCGAAAATGGCGGAAGGCGTATGTTAAATCACAATGGAATTAAATAATCTACAAATTAGCGAAACACAGACTGATGCACTGTACAGAGTGGCACATTACAGAGTGATTGTATAGAATGATGCATTGCATAGAGTTACTAGAAATAAAAAATCGTAAATATGTCCCAAAAGACAGGGATATACGAAAACTTTAGAAAATTGAGATGAGAAAGACGATAGAAAGAAGATAGAGAAGCTCCCTACAAATACAAATTTTATCTCGAATGTTTTCTCGTGTTTTTTCTGATTTACCCCCATAATATGCCTTAATGAGATTCCAACAATCCATGTCTTGTGCTTAATCTCAAGGCATAAAAATATCAGAGACTCTGCACTTCTCTCGTTTTTATTACGTTTCTTCGGCTCTGCCGCACTTGGTCGATTCGCTTTAATTTTGTAAATCCAAGAAGATCAACGTCGCGAGTTACGGAGATTGAAATAAGCCCGTCGGAGCCCGATGTTAGTCGTATCGCCGATATGCGGTGCGCCCGCGGAATCTCCGCGGAAAGAAGATATATTCAAATGTATGCAGGCTTTGTGCGCGGAGTTCCGAGATGCAAATATTTATACTAGAGTGAATTTACAATCCGACGGCGTTAATTATGCTTTCTCGCAGTCCCCGCTTGGAATTGAATACCGGTAGCAAAATGGCAAGTATACCTCGTCTCGCCTAACAATTATCCGAGATAGCTTTTTACTAATTCCGGTGAGAAATGCGGGAAATGCCATTTTCGCGTTTGTACGTTCTGTAACATTCGCCGCCGCTTTACGCTCGCTATAGGTATTACGTTATTATTACCCAACGATCGTAATGGTCGCGACAATTTTCGAGGTAGTTTCCGTGCCGCCGAAAACACCAGAGACGATTTACGATCCTCGGTGGGGTGTACTCGGAGTACCAAGAATCGACGCTCTCGTGAGCGCGGGCAATATCGGTCTTTCGCAGACGGGGAAACGCTTATTCTCCGTCTGCAATCAGCCTGCACCGATCGAACGCGTTGGCTTACAAGTCAATTAGGCCGTATTCTTGCCGGGGACCGAGAATTACTTTGAATATTGCCTCGCAATTAACCGCGGCCGACCATTGAGGAGTAATAGCGCGGCGGGCACGCCGGCAGTTACGACTTCCATCGCCGTCGAGCGGATATTGCGGTGGCTTCATTCATTGCATTCCGTCGTCAAGATATACGCAACACGAAGAGAGAGAGAGAGAGAGAGAGAGAGAGAGAGAGAGAGAGAGAGAGAGCCCGCGCTTAACGTGCATTACATTCGGTATTGTAGCGGTGCTTCATGTGAGCCGCGGCATATCGAATCGCCACTGCGGCGATTCGTTCCGATCGAAGATCCCATCGATACGCTCGGCCCTTCGATCGATAAGGATAACACTCGCTTTTTCCCGTGAGAAAATAAGCTCCCTCCGTGATGAACGAAAGCGTGATGAGTAAAGCGTCGAACGATGTCAGAAACGAAAACTTCCACGATCTTACCGCGATAAAACTTTGCGGGATAACGTCGAAAGACTGAACTTATATATCAGTACGATTTTATTTTGTTATTCCGGCTACACACGACGAGAATATCATCGTCAAACTTCGGGATATAGAATGCATATTTGGTATATATAGAATAATATTTCAAACCCCCTCACGCGCGCGTTATTTATATTTTTATTATGTACTTTACGAAAGAAGTTACCGCATATCTTGATAACGCGCGATACACTTGAATATATTATTCTATATTGAATAATTCATAAGAGAGTAGAAGTTTCAAACGAATGAATGAAAAAGTTTTACCCTCGATAACATCAACTTGAAGACTTGGGATCAAGATATAAGTTTGGAAGCATCGTTTTGGATTACAAGTTAGATAACGATTACATGATAAAAAAAAGACAAATCTTTTGGATAGCATAAAATTATAATAACAAATGCGTTAATGTTTTTATACCCGTATTCCATCAAATTTTTATCAATGTGATTGTTAATTCCGTTTATTAAAATACATACAAAGTATAACGGCGTCTGCATAGTTTTGAAAGGCACTCAGACAACATTTGGGCAACCAACTTTCCATATGGACAGAAATAACTGTTTATAAAATAATGATTATCTGGTAAGTAAAATTAAATAAATTTATTTCAATTGGCTGCAACAATATTGTTTCGTGAGACAAAAAGAGATGCTTTAGAGAGGCTTTCACATCCTTCGCGATCGGGTCTCCAGAAGTGCCAGTCGGTCCGTTTGCCCGCAACTAGACAGACGCTACTGACAAAGGGCACTTGATAGCGAATGAAGCAGTACTCACCGGTCACTGGAGAGCGATCTGCTCCTCGAAGGATTTCGTGCTCGGACACGTGGATCCGAGTCGGTCAGTCCAGTCGATGCGTAATTACCCGCGCGTCTCGCACACGTGTTTCATTAACGTCGCGATAAGAACGCGCTCACTTATCATGATTATCAAAAGCCGCGCACCACCACCATCCGGGATTAGTCGACGCAACGCAAATCGATTTGAATCTGCCGGTTAATAACACCGCGCGATTTCATCTCGTCGTCTCACAGCGCGCCGAACGCACTACGTACTCCCTCTCGGATCGTTCGTTCATCTTGCGGCGCGGACGACAATGCAGGGTACGATGATGGACCGGCGATGGTGTGGCCGAGGTTGAGAGCTCGTGGGACGATTACGTTTACGTTGCAGTCGACAGTAGCCTGCGGGATGTGGAGCGAGCCCTGCGAAAGATCACGCCTTTCACACAATGCATGCCGGGACGGCATAAAGATATCGATCGCCACGTCATATCACGTGCCGGCGATCGTTTCGTCGAGGTACCCGAAGGTCAACGCGACGGTGATTTCAAAAGCGAATCGTGAAGCCCTTCGCGATGGCGTAATTAGGCGAGGCTGGGACCAGGGAACACGACGCGCGCGTCCCTTCCGGCTCGTTTTACAAGACGTGAATAGTACGAGCTCGTATCGAGCTTCGTTATTTTTGTACCCTATATCGAACTATAAACCGGAAACGCTCTCGGCTGCCCAAAGTAACTTTTAACCCGCACTTGGGTATCATTTCATTTTCTTTTCGCGTTCCCCTTGGAGCGTCTTGAGCATTATAACATTGAGGTTGCATATAAATCTTCTCCTCAAAGTCTGAATAGTACAAGTCCATTGCTCTAGCAAGACTTAAATAAATTAATAAATTGATTAGAACAAATTATGTGTATTCGCGCTTACGTAGTTGATCAATTTTGCACTTTTTAAGGTGCTCGGATCGCCTAATTACGTCTCACGTTTTCATTATAAATTCCTTTAAAAGAAACCTTACGTCCTACAAATTGCGCGAATTCGCCGTTCGTAGACGAAATCGTACTTTGCACTTTGATTTGGAAAGATTTCTCTATAACGGTGACTTTATAATGAGCTTCGTCGAAATCTTAACAAGTAATCGGGGCAACTTAGACTGGACGATCCCAAAATTCAGATAATTTTATTGGCATGCAGGTAAACGGCGGACGACGAGTATTCGAGAAGAAACGACACACCGTATTTGTTGCAATTATTTATAGCGCGCGTAAATTTTATCGCGTGTTAACGAGCGATCACGAAAATGCGCCGTTTACTTTTAGTGCCTGTGCACGTTCCGCGCCCGCGGGCCTCACGTATGCATGTGCATCCTGTACGTGTAACATGCGCGTACACACACACACACACACACACACACA